GACCGACTGCTCACGCTGAGCTAACAAAACGGTATTTTTATGGCGTCAAAATTATATCAACTTAACGCTGACGCCCAGTTAAGACGCTTCTCCTAAGAAACCAGGCCTTGAGCTAACAAACCAGTATTTTGTTGCCGTCAGGGTGACGTCAACTTAACGCTGACGACCAGATAAGGCGCTTGTCCTAAGAAACCAGACCTTTAACATATCAAATTAAGTTCTTCACATAACAAGAAAACTTTGCACGTAAGTTACAGTGAAATGCGATACTTGTATATATTACATTTTTTATAATACTAATTCTCTAACAACTGAATTCGACACGGTTTTAAACTATATCAACGAATAATTTAAGATAAATAATCCTAAAAATTACATAATTTATCCGTTTCTAATCACTTATTTTGATAGAACATAGCCATATGATTAAGAAGAGGTGATACATAAAATAAGCAAGTTATTCATACAGCTTTAATAAAATATATAAAAAAAAATATTTAAAAATATTGCTGGTAATTTAATCGATGAATATTTTTTCACTATTATGTTTTTATTTAAAATACATTGTACTAAAACTAATTAAAAAAGAACAACTCATTACAAATTAATAATTCAGGAAGTTTTCTTAGTAACAAAATTTATGCTATAAAATGAATACTAATTCAAGAGATAAAAATTAAATCGTTTCGACTCATAAAATTATTATTATTTTTTTGTTGAGAGTTAACCAAGCCTTATTAAAATTTTATACCCCATTTTGCCGTAATTAGTATTTTATGACAAACAGCCTGTAAATAGGGGCCAAAAGAAGAATCAGAAATAATAAATTTGCACTGTTTTTTTCCGTTTTTTTTTAAATGAAGAATGGATTCACAATTGGTACTAAGATATTTAAGGCGTAGATATATATTTACAAACTATTTTTTGACATATTATATATTAACTTCACGCATCACGCACGAGACAATTTTTTTTCTGGTTATTTGTTTCACAAAAAGAAAAATGTAAAGAAAAATAAATTCTTCAGTTAAAACTTTGTAATACAAAGAGCACAAACCCGTAAAATATTGAAGAATTATTGCGATTACTCATTTCGCAAATAAGAAATATCTGTCAGCATTGCAATAAATGCGCAAAAAATTTTGAAAGTAAAAACTTAAAAGGATGAAACACTTTTCATTTCAAACTTTCCCTTTCCCTTTGAAGAACAGTATTGATACGTAGGCACGCGTGAAATTCTCATTTTGTTCTCCTAACTTTTCTTTCCTTTTATTAAAATTGGAGTTACTGAAAAGAGGTTTATCTTTTTTTTTTCTTTTGTTCTTCTCTCAACTTTTATGACCTTAGAGTTTTTTTGCAAATATTGCACACCAGTAGGAAATTTGCATATCTCTTAAACGCTCGGAAGGAGAATTCAAATACAAAGTTTAATTTATGATAGAAAGTAAAATATACCCAAAACACGAAGAAAAAAATCCTATTTAATTTTTTTTTGCATTCTTCACTCAAAGGAATAAATGCCAACGTCATGTTGAATGCAGTTGAATCTGCTATATAGTACATAGACAAAAATAAAGTAATAAAATAAAATAAAAATTTGAAACTATTTACTGTGAAAAAAGAAAATTTAAAAAAAATCTTTAAAAAAAAAATTTTAAAAATTAGATTGATCAATCAGAAAAGTTGATTGGTTGGTAAGTTAAGAGTTAATTGGCACAAGAGCCAGAAATGGCTGTACTGCGCCAGCTACTAGGTAAAAGAAATGCACACATACGCACACACTTACAATAAATAAGATATATTTTCATACTCTAGAAATAATTCATATGGCAAAACAACGTTTGCCGGGTCAGCTAGTATATATATATATATATATAAATGCCTAGGTGTTTTTTAACTGCTCAAGAAATGCAGATTAGAGAAAAAAATATTATAGAGGGAGCGGCTGCATGATAAAACTCACAACTGATAATCCAAACGGACTGATAGTCCAAAGTTTACTTCTAAAGTTTCTTTAAATTATATGTTACACCCCATTTACACGAGGCCTGATAGCATTCTCATGACGTCACAAAACGTACGAAAGTCTGATTCAAGAGAGTGGTTTCAGGTGCCTGTTTCCAATCCTAGTATAAATAGAGTGTTAGAGAAAAAAGTAATAATTGTTTATCTATGTTGCATATCTATGCAGGGGGGTGAAAAAATGTGACGTGATTTTCAGTTTTGTTAACTCGCATTTTCATTATCAGTTTTGTTAACTCTCATTATATCTTACGTGAAGTGTCTGAACAGAAATCTGGAACATTGGGAGAAAAAATGTATGCCATGGAAAATAAATTTTTTGTTGATTTTGACCTAAGCTGCTCAGTTTTCAGTTAAATATTTTTGAAAATGGGCAATTTAATTTTAGTCGAATTAAGACTCCATTTAAATAGATTTTTAAATGCGAAAAGATATATATATATATATATATATATATATTGTTACATTAAGAAATCACTTTAAAAAATCTTTAGGAAAATAATTAAGTAATCATTTATATAAATGTGTATTTCTTATTTTAAAATAAAGATCATTATCTCAGGATTGTTATCCATGAAAAAAATTCTGAAAGTTAAAAAATGTGCTTTAAAAATTCATTGCATTCCTTTACAAATTATACTCAGTAAAATTACATAAATTTGAAAAAGAAATTGTTATTAAAAAAACTATTTTCCTAATTTAAATGTTAACTTCTTATAGATTTATTAACAAAATAAATATCCTAATTAAATAGAAAAATGTGTGGCTTGTGATCGTTTCCTATACATTATGAACGCGCCAGTTTCGCCTGTTAATCTTATTTAAAAGTTACACGTCAGAGTTGGCCGTTGATTACAGTAATCGATTACAACTGTAATTGATTACAGATTTACAACTGTAATTGATTACAGATAATTACAGCTATGTAATCAATTACTTGTAATAACGATTACAAGTAATCAATTTCTTGTAATCGTGATTACAACTTTCAAAAAATTTTGATTACAACTGTAATCATGATTATAATTTTGATTACAGTAATCAATTGCTTGTAATCACGATTATAAGTAATCAATTAAAGTTGTAATCATGATTACAAGTAATTGATTATTGTAATCAANAAAAATTCTGAAAGTTAAAAAATGTGCTTTAAAAATTCATTGCATTCCTTTACAAATTATACTCAGTAAAATTACATAAATTTGAAAAAGAAATTGTTATTAAAAAAACTATTTTCCTAATTTAAATGTTAACTTCTTATAGATTTATTAACAAAATAAATATCCTAATTAAATAGAAAAATGTGTGGCTTGTGATCGTTTCCTATACATTATGAACGCGCCAGTTTCGCCTGTTAATCTTATTTAAAAGTTACACGTCANAATTGATTACTGTAATAAAAAATGTAATCGATTACATTTTTGGCCAACTCTGTTACACGTGTTACGTATTACTAGTAAAATAATTGCTTGAATTAAACAAAAAAATCTTTAGTTTTGAAAATATTCGGTATTATAAATTTATTTTGAAAGTCTCAGATATTACAAATCACAAAATAGATTATCAACCGTATTTAAAACTTGAACCTTTTCAGTAGAGCAAGTAAAACAATTGCTCAGATTAGAAAAAAAATTTGTAGTTCGTCAATGCTTCCGAACTCGACGCTTTTATGAAGATATTGTATTTTGAACGTATTAAAATTTACGCATCAGAAAATAAACTATTAATCTTATTTAAAATTGCGGACCTGCTCAGTATTGCTAGTAAATAATTACTCAAGTATATTTTAGATCAATCAATCTACTTTAAAACTTAAAAAACTTTATTTGAGAGGCTTTTATTCATCTCGATTATAATCGTTCAACACATGTAATAAAGTTTCAAGCATACTTATAGGGGGTATAATGTCTAAAACTATTAAAAAGAATTCTGGGTAACAAAAGCATGAACAAACAAAACAAAGCACATAACGAGATACAGTCAGTCACAAAAGTCTACATACACCCGCTAATATTCGCAGATCTAGCACTTTACTCATATTTTTGAATATCCAACTTTATTTTTGTTAACATCTTGGATAATAACTCATCTAACAAAAAGGATTATGAACAAATTCGCTAAAATATAACAAAAATTAACAACATATTAAATTATATAGTTACAAAAGTCTACATACAGAGACAGAACAATACAAACTTTCAGAATTAAATACCAAAAAATTTAACAATAATATTTTGTAGGACCTCCCTTTGAAGTAACAACTGCCTGAATTCGGTTTGGCATCGACATAACCAGATTTTTTGTCGTCTCAGGTGTAATTTGAGACCATGCAAGCTCTATTGCCTTCTTTAGGGCTTCCTTGCTTGTTACCGATTGTTTCCGAACTCTCCTATCAACTTCCGCCCAAAGATGCTCTATGGGATTAAGGTCTGGGGACTGTGGCAGCAAATGGAGCTGTTTAGGCGTTTTATANTATATGCAAAGTTTTAATTTCTGTTTAATTTACTAATAAATGTAGTTGCATGCTCTTGAAAAGTTGTGATGTGAGAAATGTATAGGGTGTAAATGCTTAAGTATGGTATAATGTTTAACTAAAAATGTTTTCACTAATCCAATATAGTCAAGAAAATATATTACCTGTTTGACTACGTAGAACGGATCAATGGAGAAATTGAAATTCTGAAAAAAAATTGTTCTGTGTTATTTATTATTTTATTGTACGCTAATGGAAGCTTCTTCTAATGAACAGCGTGACCAGCAAATGTATTTAATGGGTAGAATATATTTGAAGGTGCCCCTTGATTTTCGCCAAGTTGTGATCGCGGTTGATCGCCAAGCTAGGCGATGTTGAAACCCAATCGTGAATCTGATTGGTATAGATTTTAGCGTTATTTTTGGATGTTCAACAGTATATGTAATTTCCAGAGGTCCATTGGTTCTACGTTGGATACTGGATTTTAAGGTTACATATGATTCTGGTCAATAAGATCGCAAGTGTGTGGGCCGTCATAAAAGAGGATTTTAGAACAAAATGGCAACGCCAGTCCGGTACCACAGACGCAATTTCCGACTCGTATTTCACCGAATTTATGTGGCGATAGGCACACAGATCCTATTCATGATAAATTTAGACAGTATCTAACAGCTATTAGAGAATTTTGCGTATCTAAATCTGAAAATATTTAATCATAATGAAGAAGTGAGTTTTTTTTTTCTTTCTGTGCTTACTCCATTAATTTTTGTTTCGAAGCAAAATGCATTTTATTAGGTTTATTAATTTTGCTTATATTAGGTTCATCGCAATTTTATAAAGTTTTGGCCGATGTTTTGTTGAAATTTTCCAATGTTTTATTGAAATATCATTATGTTTTGGCCGTCATTACCGTTTCCACGGTGTTCCGCGCAAACGGGAATGACGCCAAACATAAGTCGCCAATTTCGCCAAGGGGCACCCTCACGTATATTTTTACCATTTTCTCTCGTTTTTTGATCAGTATGACACTCTTACGCCACTTCACAACTACCCTGATTTATTTCAGTCAGTCTGTAATTAACCAAGAGAAGTGGCAAATAGCCTTATAGTAGACTGATTGAAGTCTTAACAAATCTAGTCTCAGTAAATCCTCGTACACTTTTTAATTAGCATAAAGTAATTGAATGTTGATTGCAATCAGCCTAAGTGATATCAGACAAATTAGAAAATATTGGAGACTTTTCTAATCAGCCTGGTGCATTTCGAAATTCCGCTGGCATTTTCATAGAGGAGATTTTTTTTTTCCAACTAGCTTAAGATTCATACATTGATAACGGGGTTTTGCATCGAATGCAAAATATTTGTAAGAAAGATTACGTGTTATAAAAAGTCAAGTTTTTGTAAATAAAAATTTTAAAAATAAATTCCTTAATGGTTTTTTTAATTTCATTCGGAATAAAAATATCCTCACTTTGGAGTTGCACTAAAGTTATAATAAGTTACTTTTCCTCTTTTTTACTCTAAGATATTTCTAAAGCTGTTATTTGCATTATTTGAAGATTAAAAAAATTACATGCTTTCGCTTATGTGTTCTTAATTAATTACTACTACTAATAATTTTATTTTATTTTATAAACGGTCAATCAAATTCTGAATTTACGACTATCAATGTTCAACTTCNAAGATTAAAAAAATTACATGCTTTCGCTTCTCTGTTCTTAATTAATTACTACTAATAATAATTTTACTCTATTTTATAAACGGTCAATCAAATTCTGAATTTACGACTATCAATGTTCAACTTCGTGCCTAGTGCGAATAATTTTTTACCCAATGAAGAAGACGAGGACACTCTTGGATCTAGCATTAGTATAAACTAGCCTCCATGAAGGACCTTTTAAAGGAACTAGAATTTTTGCGTTACTTGGAGAGGAAAACCATGAAAGCACACTGAGGATATTTTTAAGCCAGCACTGTGGTCAGTACGAACCAAGAACATAACTCGTACCAGCAAACCACTGTTGGAATTCGAACCTGGGGAATTATTGGGAATTGAACTCTCTATCCCCATAGCCGCCACTTCTCAAACTAATAATAATTATAGTAATAGGTAATATTTAACTGTTCTAATAATCATTTTAATCGTCCATTGAAAGTTTGTTTTTACTTTATTTTTAAAAGGATTCTAAAAAGCACATTTTAAGGGACGGTTATGACATAACTTTATAAAAATGACTGCCATTAACTACATTAATTAGTATCAATTAACCAAACTGCACAAAATGGATATTCGATTAACACGAAACTTTCGTCTTTGTTGACGTAACTGATTCCTGGTATATGCTGCGAGCGAAATTTTGTCAAAATGACGCAAAATAACTATCGGATTTTCTTCGAGGAAACAAATTTCGTCATAATCAAAGAAATATTTCGCCATTTTGTTTCAGAAAAAAGTGCCTAAAGTATCCAACTTTTAATATTTACTTTATCGTGGGCATTATATAGATGGAACATGACAGTTAGTTAAATTACACTCATGCCCGAAAAGAAATTCGAACTCTGGATCTTCTTGGTAGAAGGTAAGCTTTCTGACCACCATACAAACCGGTCAGCGCAATTCTTCAGTTTATTTTCGATAGTCTTTATTATAGTTTCGTCTATCTAGTTAACAATCTCCCACAATGCACTACAAAGAGGTTTCGAATTATAGTAACATTTTCGTCATACCTTTGAGAGTTCACATTTCATCACAAATCACGTGATTTCGTGACGAAATAATTCTCAAAATTAACGAAATCCTGCTGAAGAATTGCTGAATCGTCAGAAGTGAGAGTCTTGTTTCTGAGAATACATTAGTTAAATCTTTACTTAAGCTGTTAAATTAGCAAAATTATTTTTCTATTTGAAACATTACATTTTGATGTATGTCTTCTAACTGAGTTCAATGTTTACCTTTTAATTACGTAGTTGGTTACGAAATAAGAATGAAAAAAGTTTGAATGCACAGATTTGCAATTTCCATATTTACTTTTTTGTTTGCATGAAAAATGAAAGAAAGTAAAAAGTTAAAGAACTCTTTTAATGAAAAAAAGCTGAGAACAAAAAATATGTAAAATATCATATAAACGACTAATATAAAATAAATAAATATGAAACTTACGCATTTCAAGTGATCTACTTCTTGATCGAAGCACTGTAAAACAAATATTAGAGTCAATTATTTAAAAATTTATCGTGATATTAAAAAAAAATTGAGCCAATAATTTAAGAGCAAAAATATTAATGAAAAGTTTCCTGAACAAAAATTAAAATAATAATAATGATAATAGTTTAGCACTACTTACATCTAAAAGATCAATAATTAGATGTATTGGTGTACCAAGAAAAGTGACGAGTCGACTTATGAGTCCTTCATCCATCTGATCGAAAGCTCTCCGAGCTCGAGATCTTGTCTCTGGTACAGAATTTGAATCTAGAATTGTTTCCATCAATTAGTTAAGTACTTTATCTCTTTTATAAGCGTTACCAGGATATATAAAATTCAAAATTAAATAAAAGTTTCTTAGGCATTTATGGATGCCGATAACTGACCTGACCGATAAAGTTACTGACCCATTAAAAATTTTAATATCAAATATTTCAAATGAGTAACCGGTATTAAATAGAATATTGCAATTGTTTGAATAGCTTTATTTAAACAATTTTAAAATTTTCATAATTTACTTAAAAAATTTATTTTTACTTAGAACTTCTACTTAGATTTTTTTTTCTTAAAGCATTTATTTAAAATTATGTAGTTTAAAAAGAGTAAGTGCTATAAAAAAATTTCAAAAAATTATTAAAGAACATTCTTAATTATTTCCAATTATTACACAAAAAATTATAATTTTTATTTTTTAGAGTTTCTTGCATTGTGCATGGTGTTAAGGTGTATTTCTCCAGATTTCAGACATTAAAGAAAATCCACAAAATTCAAATAATAATATATTAATGAGCTTAACATTTTCTGCGAAGTTACTCGAATCAATTTTCTTATTTTCTTTATAAGTTTTCGTTACAATAAAAAATACGGGCCAATGATAGTAAGGCCATTTGTGTTTTTACATAGACATCGTTTTGAGAAAGCATACAAATAGAAAGAAAAATAAAACCATCTTTTTAAGTGATAAAATTGTACCAAATGTTGACAGATACAATAATAGATATCATATGCATCAATTACATTATTTTCCTGAACTTACTTCCGGAGACTTACCAGGATATTAATGGGTGCTTTTTTAAAAAAAATCAGCACATAAAAATCTCTATTTTTTAAAACTTTTTATTTTGCTTTTGAATATGCATTCGAATCCATCAAATTATTTCTATGAGGCTTCCCTCAAAATTATTGCCTTTTTTATGAATTTTTAACACATAAGTATCTCTATTCATAGAAACCCTTTATTTTGCTCGTGAATACGCACAAATTCATCACGTAAAATTTTAATTCATTGTTCTGTTGTTAATTGGAACTGAGATAACATTGAAGATACAAATTCAACTAATTATTTTTTCTAAATTATATGGAATTTGGAACCAAATTGAACTGTTGCTGCCAAGGTTAAATTTCAAAAATTTTAGCTCGTTTTTAATATTAACCAAATGCCGGGCATGGTACAGCTAGTTTTGCCTCTTTTGCATTGAATTAATAAATAACATTATTCCTGACTGTTCTATATAATGAATTGGTAGGTTTACGGTTTGATTAGAGTATTAGCACATAATTTATTCTTGTTAGATAATAATAAAATAAGATTAAGAAATAATACTATGCGATTGACTTTTTCATTACTGCGTACTTCAGACTAAAATGATTAAAATAAAAGTTTTCACGTTTCTTAAAATTAATATCAGTTTTAATTATTTTTTTATGAAAAAAAGAAAGAATATTTTAAATCAATTCAAAGACGCATGATGAAATTACCTGATAAAAAGAAAATATAGAAAAATATAATTCAATACATATGAAAAAATTACATCATGGAAAGGAAATAGAAAGATTTTTGATAAATCTATTCCAATACACATGAGAAAATTACCTAATATAAAGAAAATAGAAATAATTCATTAAAATAAATTTCAATACAAGTGAAAAAAATCTCCCGCTAAAGGGAAAATAGAAAAAAAATCAATTCCAATACACAAGATAAAATTATCAAATAAAAAGAAAATATAAATAATTTTTTAAATCAATTGAAATACGCATGATAAAGGTATGTAATAAAAAGGAAATGCAAAGATCATTTTCATACAATTCCAATACGAATGATAAAATTATCTAATAAAAGAAAATAAAAAAGATTTTTTTAAATCAATTCCAATACGCATGTAAAATTACTTAGTAAAAAAAGGAAAATAAGGAGAATTCTTTTTAAATCAATTCCAATACGAATTACGAAAATATTTAACAAAAAGAAAATAGAAAGAATTTTTTAAATCAATTTTAATACACCTAATAAAATTACCCGATAAAAAGAAAATAGCACTTAGAATAAGAATATAGAAGAAAATTATGCGAGAAGCAGCCATTTTCTTTAGAATCTCCTTAAGGTATTCTGAAAATAATAATGACATGCGATCTTTTCTTCTGTATATAAATCCGCGAAAGATTTCGTGATGATGATATTATTTTAATACCGACTATTCGTGACTTGATTAAGTGTTAAATGATGAAAACATGTTTTCAGTTGAAGTACGAAGTAGGAATTTGTGTGCGAATGACTGTTATCACATTTTTGAGACACAGGTGGAAAAAAAGTTTAACAATTATTCTTAAAATCGTGAAAAGGAATTTTCAGTTCCAAAATACTATCCAGACTGAAATTTTTGCTCACCATTATTTTCATGTCAGCCAAAAATCTTTAAAAAAAAATTTTTTTTTTTTGCGGCAAGTTTTTCGACCTGAATTTCAAAAATCCGTAAGGATTTTTAAAATAGTTAATATAAACATTTTGAAAAATAGTTCATCTAATTACTTCACTTTAAATTACTTTATTTTCACATTAATTCTTGTGTTAGTAACTTAAAAATTTTATTATTTATTGAAATTTCAATTAGAATTATCTCTTGCTCAGAGCAAATTTTAAGATTTAATAACTTGAACTTAGTTCAATACTTTTAAAAATTGTTTCACAAGTTTTGAGAGTAAAGAAACATAAAAATAACTTCAAATCGTTTTTAAAAAAATAGCTTTTCTCTTTAAAAATGCCTGAAGGTTCCTTTAGATTTCTTTGACGGAAATTGTGGAATTTTATGACAAAATACTAAAGGATTTTCAGAGACCCCCCCCCCACCAATCTTTATAATGAAAATTTATCTACCGGAATTTCAAAGTTCTTTGAGGTTTGTCCCGCAGTGGACTGATCGTTAAGACACGTTTCCCAGCAGATCACCGAAGTCAAGCATAACTGACTGTGGTCAGTGTGTGGGTGGGTGACCACTTGGATCAGTCTGCGTAGGGACCGAGGGTGTGCGGTATTGGTCCTCGTTAAACTGTTCTACCGTAAAGTGCTCGACTTCGCGTGCAGGTCGTCGGGCTACCGAAGCGGGGGTGCCATCCCCTCTGCAGAGGATCAAAATTGTGATGGCATGTCTTCGGATCATCCTCAGGGATGTTTCCCAGACCGTGGCTAATAGCCCATTGTGTAGCTCTAGTACGACGTAAATGAACAACAAAATCTTTGAGGTTTTAAAAAATAACTAATGTAAACATTTTGCAAAATACACTGCTTTGCAATTGCTAAGGAGTAACTAATTTTTTCGGAATGCTTAATTATAGACGTTGATTGATGAAAAAAAACTAAATGCATATTTTGTAGAAGCACTGTGCATTTGTAATTATTCAAAATAATTCAGATATATCAGAAAATAATAAAATTTAAAAAAAAGAAATGCTCATTGGATGATTTCCAAACATGCATGAAAAATGGGTTGAATCCTGTTATTCATGCTGTTCCCCAAGCTATCACAGAGTCCTTGTGGGATATTGTCCCACTTCTCTCTCAAGGCAGTTTTCAGCTCTCTCACTATTACGAAAGGGCGTGATCTTTGAGAAACTTGTTTGCCAAGGGCATACAGGACATACTCTATAGGATTTAGGACCGAGGAGTACACAGGCCATGGCTTAAGTTCAATATCTTTACTTTCTAGTGCACTGTTAAAAATTTATCGGAAAAAATGGATAAATAACAATTTATTGAATGGTTATTTTACCATATTTAAGCAAAACAGTCAAATAACCATAAATAAAATGGTAATCAAACTGTTAAGTTTGAGGAAAACTGTTTATTAACTGCTTTCACCTAATACGGTTAAACAACCAGAATTTTATCGCACCAAATAGATGGACCTAATGAAGCTACTTAGTTCTTTGCAAATGCGTACATATCATAGCCGAGCGGGTTTATCTGTCAATCTCATGACCGGCAGAACTGAAGTTCGAGTCCTAGTGTTGACACCACACTCTTTCCTCCCTTCCCTTCAACACATTAAGCATTTCCAGTATCCGGCACTCTCCAATTCCCATTACCTTACGAAAAACCGAGCTCCTATGTCTAATTAAATAATTAATTTCTTTTTACGTTTTTAAAAAAGGCTTGTTGTAGATAGTTAAAAAGCAGTATAGTTTTGTATTCACGGCTTTATAACCACACTGTTTGTAAATGGTTTCAAAACCATAGAAGAAGAAAAAATCTTCTTTACCATAAACTTTATGGTAAATCGGATGGACAGACAGCTGCCAGTTATTTTACAATAATTTCAGAATGAAAATTTTAGCAGCGTACCCGCTACCTCAGCGCAGCTGTGTGGTCGCGCATTGCCGTCCATAAACAGAAATTCCGGACCTAGCACACCCCCAAATAGACAAACATGAAGCAGAATAATCTCTCAGCAATACCACATCGTTGTAACATGACCTCGCTCAAAGATGTGAAGTGGTGTTCAGCCATTGTGTATAATGCCTGAGACTACCTGCACGCCTGGGCCATGCCGATGATTTTCATGAACTTATTATGGTACACAAGCCGGACAGGTGGTCGAGCGGTTAGCGCGCCTGACTGCGAAGTCAATGGCTGCTGGTTCGAATCACGCTCTAGGCATGGATGTTTCTCTCTCTTGTGTTGTCCTCTGTTGTGTTGTCCCACCCTATAATCGGGTTTGTGGCAGTGTGGCGTGGGTAATGTTGCTCACCTCCGTGACTTTGGTTCACAGGTGCCCACTGGGTAACGGGAAATGAGCAACAATTCCGGCATCTTCTAAGGCGAAAAATAATGTTCAGTGTCTGCCATTTGGAAAAAAAAATTATGGTACACAACTTGTTCCTTTCTCTCTCTTCACTAACTGGTATCCAGAATCACTAATCATAGTGAATGGGGAACTGTAGGAGAGTATTACTCTGGCCTACTGCTAGTTAACACAACCAATACGTTCCTTATACCAACATAATCTTTCTCAACGATGGCGGGGATAAAGCGGGATGCATGTTTCAGTGACGTTTTGACCTGTTTCCTGTCGTCAAACTGCTCGTCCGCGATCCTAAAAAAAATCAAATAATATCTTTCTAACAATTTGCGACACCACAATTATTTACTTATGGTGGTATTTTCATTAAATACTTAACATTATGAATTTTTGTAAAAATGAAGATTCACAGTCGCAGTAGTTTCGGTTGGCCGGGATGCTTGAGACCGAAGTGGCCCTTTACCTCTTCATCTTGTGGTGAGGATTGTTGGAGAGAAAATCCTTCTGACCCCTGTATGCTGGAAATGCAAGTAATGATTAAAAGGGCACATCACCCGAGTAAATTTCGTCATACATGATGAAGATTGAATATACATGAATATAAAAGTGAATACATGAATGATAAATAGATATATCAATAAATAGATCTATCAATAAATAGATTTATAAAATAAGTACATTGTAAAAATAAATAGATTTATAAATAATCAAAATTATACTTGTTGTACGAATAATTCGTCAGTATAACAAAAACGGCACAAGCATGTTTCAAGTGCACATCACATCACAAAAAACTTTACATCCCATTACCACTCAGTCTATTTTTTCTAAGTTTCTTTTTTTAGTCCATTCAAATCAAATTGATTTCAGTCAACGCGTTTATATTTCCACTTTATCATGCATTCTTATCAGCTATTGTCATATCTATTGCCATACAAAATATAATTTATCACTATAAATGCTCCATTGAGCTAAAACTCAAATGGTCATCGTTGCAACACTTGTAAAGAAGTGTGCTCAGTGAGCCATCCTCAAAGAGGTTCTCATAATCAAAAATTGAGTTAATGTTTGCAGCATTACAGTTCGATGCTTTGTAAAAAAAGTTTAAATTTTTTGTTAAAGTGATGATCGAAACGGTCTATGTGAATATCGTTATTCCTTTGGAATCATTTTGAATTCGTTGTCTTTCTCAGAATTTTATTCTGTACTACACCATGCCGGAAAGGCGTAGGTCATGATCGATCTTATCATTGAGATAAATAGCAGTCTCGTTAGTTTCAAGCTCAATTTCGCATTGTACATAATTGCTTGCAGTTTTACAGCATCAGCATTCACTTTGTTCTTAATGTTTTTTTACATGATCTAACAATACCAGTCGGATTACGTTAAGTTCCAGTTCATGTAAATTTAAGCCAGTTGTTAATGACTAGACCAAGGTATGTGGCTTTTGTAACTCTTGGTATCACTTTATCGAATAGAATTAATTCATTATGCTCTCTTATTAGTTTCCTGTTCTTTTGTATTACCAATAGTTGGGATTTTTGAGTACTTATTTCAAACTTCCAACCTAGGCACCATTCTTCGTAATCATAAAGCTTGTGTTTCAGTTTTTCTATAGTACATGTTTGGGTAGCTAGACAATTTGATAACTCCTTTATCGTGTAAAAAGCAGTAATGCTATTATGATCACCCCTATCGATCGGAAATTCGTGGGTAAACAGGATGCATAAAATTGGACCAAGTATGCTACCTTGCGGTAAGCACGCTCCATAATATTTCTAAACACCTGAAAAAAGATATTCTAAAAAAAAAAAACAGAATGAGTATTACAGAACACAGTATGAAATAAGAGTATTAACACAGGGGGTTGTAGATTATTGTAAGAAAATATTTAATTATTTGAGATAGAATATTAACTTTATTATTTAAAATTACAAATTGAGAAGTAAAAGAGATTAAACACAAATAAGCCATCCAAGCCACAACAGCACCATTCTGCTAATATTAGAACTTTAAAAATATTTGAAGAAAATGTAAATTAATATTTACACTGTCATTTCTATCTATTATTTTGTAAAATTTTTTGAATGCTTGATTTTGTAATTGTAGTCACATTAATCAAACAAAAGCTAAGATTTATATGTTTTTTTTTAATAACGAAAGTATTCAAAAAGTTAAGATGGCAATAAATTCAAATTATACCATTTTAACTTTTATTTTAGATTCCTTTAAAAATGTTTCTTTAATATTTTTAATCCATAAAAATAAATTATATGCCAATTATTTATTAAAAAAATATTATTTTGATTGAAATAAATAGTCATTACCTATCCTTTTATAATTATTGATAGTTTTGTAATTAAAAAAGACAAACTTTACACA